TCTCCGCCCTGTCCGCCTGGAGGGCATCACCCGGCCCCAGGAGGGCGGCCGTCGCCTCGGACATATAAATCTGCAACCAAGGAGGGTGGCGTCATAAAGAGAAACGAAGCTGAAGGAAACGGTTCCAAAGACCAAGTGAAGAGACTTATAGTCGGGGGAGGGTTGTGGCGGGAGTATGGCCGCTTCCCGTACCGCCACTCCACCTCCAAGACCTTGAGGTCGGAGATCTCATTCACCATCCGCGAAACTTCAGCAGGCGGCATCCCCTTCGTGCACAGCCGGCACGGATGGCGGTGTCCGCTCATCCGGAAGATCGGATGAGGGCGGCTCTGGAGCGGGAGGACCCGGCACTCGATGAAGGCAATGAGGAGGTCGGAGGCTACGAGGCCCTCTGCCTCCTAGAGCACTCGGAGTCGGCCGATGGCGGCCGCTGCGTCCGCCGACACCGGCTTCGGCTTGTACTTCCAGGAAGTGCGAGCTCCGGTGGGAGGGCCGGCCTCGTAAGCCGACAGGTTGAGGAAGTCCGCAGTCGGGTCCACGTTTTCGACGTAGAAATAGGACTGCTGCCACATCTTCAACGACTGCGCCAGCTTGATAACGGGGAAGGCGTTCCATTTCGCCGGCCGGCGCACGGCGACGAAGCCCCCGCACTCGGCCGTCGTCTCCTTGGCGGAGGTGCCGAGCTTTCCATAGAAGAATGCTCCCCACAGCTTGATTGTGGGGAGGATGCCGAGGTATCCCTCGCACGCCGTGACGAAGGCGGAAAGCAGAGTCACGACGTTGGGCGTGAGGTGGTGAGGTTGAAGATTGTAGAAGTTGAGGAAGGAGCGGAAGAAGTCACTCGCCGGGAGGCCGAAGCCGCGCAGGAAATGCGAACGGAAGACGACCCGCTCGCCTTCCTGCGACACCGGCGAGATCTCCATCTTCGGCGGCACCTGCGCCTTGATGAAGGCCACGCTGGGCATCCGGCGCGTGTCGCGGAGGAAGGAGATGTGATCCTCGATCACCGTCGATCCGTCCCAGTCGCCCATGGCCCCGGCTGGCGGCGCAGAGAGGAGAAACGCGCCGGCGGTGGGCAACGGTGGCGGCGTTGCGGCAGCAGCAGCAGCGGAGGATGAGAAGAGGAAGAAGATGAGTGGGAGGGGGCGCGAGAGCTCTGCCGCACCTTCCCTCCTTCCTACTTATAGTGCCCGGGCTGTGAAGCTGAGGGGACGGGACGTGGGGTCGTGGGATTAACTGCGCCCACGTCCCCCCGACCCCCGTTTCCCACACGCATTTACCACGTCGTAAAAGATCGTGGGAAAAGCAACTGCCCCCTTCGGCGCAGTGGATCCGCCCGGTCGCCGAGGCACGGTAGTGGCGGGCCCGGCCCTGTGTCACGTCTCGTCCGAAACGTGGGGTGGCAGGCTGACCCGGCTGACGCGCGCCGTGTGGCGCGTCCGTGGCGGGCGGCGGCCTGGGAAGCTTAGCAGGCACGCCACCTAGACTCCCGCCCTGAAGTTCAAAAAACCAACGGTATGAATTCCGCCTGCTAGGCTGGCGGCATAGCAGACCGGCACCTTCCCGGAGCCCGGTGAGGGTGGAAGCTGCTGAGGCTTCGCAGTCCCTCGACCGCGGCACCTCACCGGCTTCGGGGACTACCGTCGGAGTAATGGGCCACGGGTAGGCTCACCCGATTCCCATGATCTATCAAGACTTTTGGGCCAGCTCTGCCTAGCTGGGCCCCAAGCCGAAGCTCCGTCCTCTGAGGTCGGCTGCCAGAGGGCGGTCGACCCAAGACTACGACGCTCCGAGTGACCAGGGCGGCTACAGGCAGGCAGCTACCTCACGACTACGGGGCGGCCGAGCTCCCATCAAGAGTACAAGACAAAGCATGGCTACAGTGAAGCACTCCCACGCTCGAGACGGGCGTGGCTACAGTGCTCCGTACAGACGGAGATCTCCGCACGATGGAGCACTGTGCCGTATCTACCCTGACGTTGCTCCGAGCAGGCGGAGCCCTGTTCCCCACGACGGCCTGTCGGTACGTCCCGCCAGAGGCAGGCCCTATCGGACAGTGACCCCAAGGAAGACGGCGAAAGCTCGACCAGGCAGATCAGAGAGGGGCCGGCCTCCAGCAGGCGGCCGTCCCTTGTATCAAGGCGAGCACGCCATTAAGTTGATAAGACCAGGTGTGGCTACAGTGTCCTCCCACCAGGCGGTGGGACTGTAGCCACGCTAAAGATGACCAAGCCCCCATCACTGAGGACACGGCTACAGTGAACAGCCACCAACCAGATGGAAGGGCCCACCAGGCGGTGGGCCCCTGCGGTCGGCGGAGAAGCCGGAGGCTGGAGACACTGACAGCCGGGCCCAACAGCCGGCCAGATTACCATTGTACCCCTGGGGGGTAGGCCTATATAAACCCCCCAGGCCACCCATGCAAAGGGTTCCCACTCCATTAGAACTAGCCACCCCCCTAGAGCAGGAAGAGAGCTAGCCTTGCCTCCTTCTGCCTCTAGCACACAGCTCGAGGAGCACCATTGTATCACTTGTGCCTTAGTGATCATGCGGAGACCCCGCAGAGCAGGACTAGGGGTGTTATCTCCTAGGAGAGCCCCGAACCTGGGTAAAGTACGCCGGCGTTCGTGTCTACGCCTTATCCCGCTTCCAGGCACCGGCGACGTTCTACTCTCTCCCATCATGATAAGCCATCCTTTGGCATATGTCGCATCCAACCCCTGACAGAGGGCTTCATTTTTAGGTGCTTCTTCAAGTTTTGTTAGGGTTTGTGTTCTGCTCAGGAAGACGAGACGACGGCTGCTTCTTGAAGATGGAATCAGGTTCTCCCTGTCTAGCCCCCGTTTCGGTGGTGCGCCTAGCATCATTGGAGGGCGTGTGGAGGTGTGTCTCCGGCGGATCTCGCGAGATTCGGTCGATGGTTGTCTTTGGTGATTTACTCGGATACGGTCTTCGTTCATCTTTGTTCTTGTGTCTTAAGATTGGATCCCTCTGATCTGAACTTCTCTTCATTAGCGGCGGTTGCTGTTTCGTTGGTCCTATGTGGCGTTAGCACGACGACATTCCGACTGTCTACTACAACAAGTTGTGCCCAGTTCCAGTGAGGGAGGGGCGATGACGGCGCCGCGTCTTCGGCTCGCTTGAGTGCATGTAATCGTCGCTAGGTGGTCTACGAATCTGGATGTGATTTTTTATTTATTTTTTCCGGTGTCCTTTGTATTGTCATGATTGAAAATGAATAGATTAGAAGTTTCTCGCAAAAAATGGCACAAGGTAAATTGAAGCTAAAGGCGACAAATGAATGGTAGATACTCGGGAACCAGCCATTTTTCCTGAAATACTGGTGTTATATTGTCTTGTGGTGTTCCAGCTGATTATATCCGCAATGACACAAAGTAAAGCAAATCCAAAGCTTACCAGCTAACTATATCTACAATTAGAATGCTAACTAGTAAAGCCAACATTTTAGAGTAAATAACGACAAGGAAATTATGACGCATCTGAACAAGTTTTACATTTAATAGGCATATCTAGGTGATAGGGGCTAAGGTGTATCATCGTAACTATCGTTTTTGGTGAAGTAGACTTTGACGATCCGTTTATGAATGTGCGAAGACGTTGCGCCTTAGCAATCGCTAAACCAACTCCGAGAGGTTATTGTCCATGCTAGAGTACGATCAACCTGACTACGAGGGTCTATTTTCTGCAGGCAAACGAAGAACAAGTAAAAAACTAAGATTATAATCTGAATATTGCGAATTTAAGAAGTTTTATTGATCAAAGTGGTATTCTTAAACTATGGCGAATTTTAATCTAAACAAACCCAGTCTACAACGATGCCCTAAATGTTGTATTTATAGGGAGACAGAGAGGAATTTCGTCCACCTTTGGCAAGGTGGGACTAAATTCTATCATAAGTCGTTTTTCCAAATAATACAGACTCTAAAAATAGCCTATTATGTGTATTTCAAAAATACATGGGTCTGGCCAAAAAATAAGGTGACCCAACACCTATATTAAGCTATGGACGAAATTTATTTAAAGCCATCTGTTATATTTCGTGCATGTCTTTGTATGTCATTATGGTGGCTCCAAAGTGTTGAAAACTCCACTGAAACTTCGTTCTTGTTCCTTTTGTGCGCGCCATCCCCTCCATGCTTGATCATGCTCCAATGTTTATTCTTCTTGTCCATGCTCAACCCTTCATTGTAAGCAAAACAAATGTGTCCAATTTAGGTAGCATCATATTCTCATGAACATTAGAATTGTTACCAAGAAACGACAATACCTGATAATTTAATTGGCGTGTGCGAGCTCTAATAATTGGTACAGTATATGTAGCAGCAGAGATTATGGGTGTAACTGTAGTATTGATGTCCTCAACACTAGGACATACCCGTGTTATGTTGGCTTTGATGCATTACAGCTAATTGAATCCGCAATCATAATAATACAAAGTAAAGCAAAATCAATGTGTTCCCGCTAATTGTAGTGTTTTAGAGTAAATGAAGACAAGAGAATAGTGTGCATCCGTTTTTTTTACGGTGATGACAGTTGCTTCAGAGCGAGATGACACTTTCTAGGATGAAGTATGAAAAACTGCCATCTTCCTAGAAAATATCATGTCGCTATGAAAAAACTGCCACCCACACACAACCAAGAAAATACCATCAAAAATCGTTCGAAATGTCGTCCCTTCATAGCAAACGTTCACCAGGTAGCATTCGCGCAATAAAAACCCACAAACCACACCAGATCCAAATCTCAAACCAAAAAAATCTCCTGGCCACCAAAAAGGCGTCCAAACGAAACTGCCCCGGATTTAGTTCGAAACCGTAAAACCTTTTCTCACAAACCACCAAAAACCAAAAACAAAACCCCCGGAGGAGGCCCCTGGCTCTTCAAGACGGGGGCCCCGCGCACAGTCTCAAAAGAGCCCAAGCCACCTCCTGCCCCCAGCCGGACCCCGCGTGTGCCCTCGTTCGCCCCGTGCTCCTCCCATGGAGGCCACCCCGATCTCCGTCAAGCCCCCCTCGCCGGCCCCGCCCCAGCCCCCGCACCCGCACCTCACGGCGGCGGTGCCCCTCTCGGCCATGGAGCCCCCGCCCTCGCCGCCCCCGGCGGTGGCGGCGGCGGCGGAGGGGCCCGACGCGCTGCCGGATCCCGGCAGCATGAACCAGCTCGCGCTCGCCACCACGCCCAAGAGGTGAGCTCCCCCCGCCCCGGCCCCGTGCGTCCCCGTTCCCCGTTTCCGGCGCCTCGCCGGCTGATCTGACTGAGGCGGGCGTTTGTTGTTTGAGCAGGCAGAAGGTGGAGGACGCCGCGGATGGGTGCAAGCATTGCGCCTGCAAAAAGTCCAGATGCTTGAAGCTGTGAGTGAGCACTCCCCCTGTCCCTCCCGATTGCGCCACGATTTCGCCGCCGGGCCCTAGGATGTGCCCTGTTTCGCCTGCGGTGCTTTAGACAGGGACGGCCGATTTTGAAATGTTGGGTGCCGTGGGGTTTCGCTGCTCAGATTTGATTCCGTTTAGGTTTTGGAGAGGGGCATCTGCGCGAGGGTGGGATGGCTTAATCATCCTGTCTAATTTGATGTCCTGGTCACATATCTGCTTCAGTTTCAAAAATCCCTTTGGTATGCTGGGTTCTCCAGTGAACTGGTAGCAGCTTGCCTCTTGTAGTATGCAGTGAAAAATTCAGGAAATTATTTTCCTGATATACGTGCTTGCTGCAGAGGTTCCCAAATTCAGAATTGATTTTTCATGATGGGGAGTGCATCACTTGTTTTAGCATTCGTTTGTGCACTATTTGATTATTACTATGATTCCGCTTCGTAAGTTACCTCAATTCCTCCTTTGAAACATAGCTCATGGAGCAGCTTATATCTGCGTGGCCGGACTAAGCAGCTTATAATGTGTTCCCGTAGATAAAAAATGACTCGAGATCTTGCTATGGAAGTGTTTTAGAATCCCAGGTCGTTTTTTATCTATTGGGACACATTATATTGGTGAAAACGTTTATCAGTATATGATGATTAGTTTAAATGTGGATGTGCTCCTAGCCCAGTGCCCCAGTGGTGGGAGTGCAGTGGCGCATTCCCGCCGGGGAGGGTTCGATCCCAGTGGGTGTCATTTAACCATCCCGGTTAATATCACGGGATTGGGTGTGTGTCTCACAAAATTCCTTCTTAATTAAAAAGCCGCAAGGGCTCCTACCCCTGCTGGTCTAGTTTTTTGCTTAATGATCACTTTAAATGAAATCGTATCTATATGTGCCTGTATATGCCAATATTTTTTTTATGAATTAAGATTTGTAACCATGCTCTGATGAACCATTAACATAAATCATGATTGTCTGCGTCTGCAGGTATTGTCCATGTTTTGCTGGTGGAGGTTATTGTTCTGAAAAATGTGGATGTGTGCCATGTTTCAACAAGGCTGATTTTGCAGAGACAGTTCAGACCACTCGCAAGGTGCTACTTTCACGTCAGAAACGGATGTCTCTGAAAATTAATAGAAGACTGGAGGCTAATGCTGAAACTATGGTTGTTTTCTTGACTCAGTTAGACGATGTTGCATTTTTAAGTTCCTTTTGGCTCATAATAATAATTTCCATTCTATGTCTTTGTCACCTGCAGGAAGACGCACACAATTCTTCTTCTTCAACTCCACCAAGGCGAGGTTGCAACTGCAAGAAATCAAGTTGCCTAAAGAAATACTGTGATTGCTACCAGGTTCCATCTTAGCTCCAAACACTTCACTATGTCTTTGGGGTACAAATTTGTTCTTAAGTTGATTGGTGTGAACAGGATGGGACTGGATGCTCCTTATTTTGTCGATGTGAGGATTGCAAGAATCCTTATGGGAAAAATGGTAAGCACGGAATGCTTGTGATAATTTCCCTTTTCAATGAAACCTGTGTAAATATCCCCTTGTGCAATATCATCGCGTGCTGGCTAATGACTGTCGTCCTACTGCAGAAGGTTTTATGGCGGACGAAAGCAAGCGTTTTATATACACCGGTGCAGATCTGGACCATAGCGAGGACGAACATGACTTCATTGTGGAGCGCTCGCCTCGCCTTCAATCACCCATCTCAAAGGAGTCCTCTTTCCAGCACACCCCGCCTCGCAGCAAGGCCTCGAGCAGAGACACGCACCTGCTGCCGCAGGTGCTGTCGCAGTGGCAGCCGCGCTCATGGCAGCAGTCCTCGAAGAGGCAGGGCAACGACCACCGGGCGGTCGACGACTCGGGAGAGAACAACAAGAGCTCGAGCCACGAGTGGCAGCTGGCGAAGCACCAGGTCCAGGAGGACACCTACAGCATCTCGCGGTGCGTCCAGATCCTGAACGGCATGGTGGAGCTGTCGCAGGTGGAGAAGTCGGTGGCCCCCGACGTGTTCCTGCATCCGGGCAACCGGGAGATATTCGTCTCCCTGGGGCTCGATGTCCGCGCCCTGTGGCTCAAGCGCAAGATCCAGCACCTGACTTAGGGCGGTGTTTTTTTTTCTCTCTAGCGTTGTTGTTGGCCTCCGGGTGAGATTTGAGGGGGGAGCATTGGATGTTGCGTTTATAGATGATGGTGATGATGGATGCCCTGCTGGCCGGCTGGAATTCACAGGATGCTTAGGGTTTTTTTTCTTGTATACTGAGATGTGTATCCCGGATCTGCACCGCCTGTCGTTGTAGAGAGCTTAGCGGCTGAGTACCTGGTGGCATGTTGCAATAATTGATGATTTGTTATGCACCTGTAGCTAATGTGATGTTGTGCCTGAGATGAGATGCTGTCTGGGGTTGCAAGTTCTCCGTGCGGAGCAGGTTCTCTCCAGCAGAAATAGGGGATCACTGTTGGTATTTTTCTTACAAGATCCTTGTGGAATATATGCGTCAAATATATAAGAGTGTTTTTGACACTACATTATTAGAATAAAAAAAACGTTCTTAGGGAGTAGCTAGGAATACTAGTAGAATGCCCGTGCGTTGCTACGGGCTATAATGTATATAAATGAATCAAATAAATGATTAAGATCACCTCTATGGTCGAAGCTCATTTCTTCCTCGTACGTCCGGGCATGTTGGGACTTCAAACGGGCCCCAACGGTCTCAAAACTCAACCGACTGGACAGTCCGGGCTAAACCCGGGCATGGGCAGCCCGGCCCGACGACCCGGCCCGAAAAACCCGAGCCGGGCCAGGTCGGGCTTGACATTCAGGCCAGGCTCGGGCTTTGTTTTGCAGCCCGAAAGATAATTCGGGCCGGGCTCGAGCTTCAATTTTTCTGTATTTCAGGCCGGGCTTTCGGGCTTTGGGCCGGGCTTGCACGTGCGCGTACTAAAAAACAGCATTCGGGCCGGGCTTTCGAGCTTCGGGCTTGATTTTGGGCCGGGCTTGGGCTTGAAAACAGGGAGTATTTCAGGCTTCGGGCTGGGCTCGGGCTTGAGAAATGAAGGTCGGGCTTTTACAAGCCCGGCTCGAAACCCGGCCCGGCCCGACGTTTGCCCGGGTTTAGTACAGGCTGCCCCAAATCCATCTCATATATGGGGAGCAATGTCGTTGTCCGAACTATCCGCCATGTTATTTCCAACACGCGGTCCCAACACAACACAAAACCCCACACCATGAGGCACCCTTCCCTCATGTCGGACCCTCTCTCCTTCCAGCTCAGTTTTCCACCATAGCCTAATATTTCTCGCTGGAGCCCTCTACTTTATAACCAGATGAGACTCACCTCACTTTCGTCCTGGCGCCCTCTTCCCTTCATACCATACTTCCCCACGGACCACCAAGGAGGAGTGCCCCCACCAACCGCTTGCTCTCCGTCATGATCCCCTCCTCCCGTGTTCGTGCCGATCCGCCACGACCATCAAGGCGGAGGAGGCGTGCGCCGCCCATGACGACCCCAAGCCAAGAAGGCAAATTCGATGTCTCATGAGGCATTGCCATGTTGTAACATACAGTTGAATGTCATGCATTACCACAAAACAAAAATATGATGGCTGTTGTTGGGGATGCAACTAATACGCCACCGCGTCTGTTATTAACTATTAAAACAACAAACTAATGCATTTACCCTTCTATCCTAAAAAATATATTGTATGACCTGATCAAAAAAATATGACTGCCTTATCCAATTTGCCACTTTTTCTTAAGTAGGGAAAATATTCCGCTCACATTCGTAACTGAACAATCAACCACAGCCTCCAACCCGCTCACTCTCAACTCTCACTCCTATCACAAAATCCTGAGCCTCCCCTCCATGACCGCAATGCCAGTTCATTGCCCCCAGGCGCCATGAACGGTCGCAGCGTAGGCTCGCCGGATTGGCGGTGGTGGCCTAGAACATCTAGGGCTACTCCATGCGAGGGATCTCTGCGGTTTGACGGGCGAGTCGCTAGCATGGTGAACATCTAGGGCTACTCCATACTGAATGGCAGAGCAAACAAATTGAAGCAAGCATGCCTGAACCAAACAGAGGTGGACTCCATCGATCAACCAGACAATTATCGCAACGATCGGATGGATTGACTGGAGAGATGGATGTATGGACGCAAGATGTACCTCGAGCATGCGCCAGATGGAGGGGTCGACGACTCGACGGCCTTGACGGCGCCGTTGTTCCACTCGGAGCGGCGCTCCTCGGCGTCGAGGAACTTCATGCGCACCTGCACGCCGGGTGCCCAGGCGCCGATCAGCGCGTCCTCCACCTCCTGCTTGGGCACGACGAACTCCCCGGCGCCCTGGCGCGGGTAGTAGGTGACGGTGAAGAGCCTGCCCGTTTGTAACTGAACAAATCAACCACAGCCTCCAACCCGCTCACTCTCAACTCTCACTCCTATCACAAAATCCTGAGCCTCCCCTCCATGACCGCAATGCCAGTTCATTGCCCCCAGGCGCCATGAACGGTCGCAGCGTAGGCTCGCCGGATTGGCGGTGGTGGCCTAGAACATCTAGGGCTACTCCATGCGAGGGATCTCTGCGGTTTGACGGGCGAGTCGCTAGCATGGTGAACATCTAGGGCTACTCCATACTGAATGGCAGAGCAAACAAATTGAAGCAAGCATGCCTGAACCAAACAGAGGTGGACTCCATCGATCAACCAGACAATTATCGCAATGATCGGATGGATTGACTGGAGAGATGGATGTATGGACGCAAGATGTACCTCGAGCATGCGCCAGATGGAGGGGTCGACGACTCGACGGCCTTGACGGCGCCGTTGTTCCACTCGGAGCGGCGCTCCTTGGCGTCGAGGAACTTCATGCGCACCTGCACGCCGGGTGCCCAGGCGCCGATCAGCGCGTCCTCCACCTCCTGCTTGGGCACGACGAACTCCCCGGCGCCCTGGCGCGGGTAGTAGGTGACGGTGAAGAGCGTGCCCTCTGCCGCGAGCCGCACGGCCTCGTCCACCTCCTCGGGCGCCCTCGGACGCCTGCTGGGAGACGGCGGGGGTACCTGGGCGCGCCCGGTGAGCAGCTCCCCGTCGGCGCGGCGCATGAAGACGACGGCGTCCCCGGCCATGAGCAGCTTGGGGTTGACTAAAATGGCATGATTTGGAACAAAGGCGCTGGGTGTTTCCTTACTTTGACGGTGGTTCGAGGGGATCGTGCGAGGGGATGAAAGAACTTACATTTGGTGGGAGGGGGCATCGATGGGGCACCAATGAGGTACATAGGAAAGGTAAGAATCGATGCGTTAGGAAAGTTAGGATTTTGAATTGATTTTCATGAAAATAGGGTTTTAATGTTTGTAATGTGATTTCTGTACCTGCCCGTTTGTGACGGTGTCTGGTTAGGAAAGTTTGTAAATGTTAAGAAAGTTTTTATTGGGAAAGTTTGTAAATGTTAAGAAAGTTTTTATTGGGAGGGTGAAAAAAATCAACGTGAGGATATGATGATGGAAGGAGAGACCAAATTAAACCAAACAAAAATAAACCAGACGAAAATAAACCGGACGAAAATAAACCGTGGACACAATCCTACCAACTCAGTCATTAGGAGTAGAGATTCATATTCTCGTGGTCCGGCAGGGTCCTATGAAAATCTAGGAGAGTTCATGGCTCCTATCCGAATGTACTCCAATCCAAATTAATTGACACAGTACAAAGCTGTACCAAAGCTTGTGCGTCAATTACTTCCTCCGTCTGCGTCCCATAACATAATATAAGAGCGTTTATTATGGGACAGGGAGTAATTTGGATTCGGAGGGAGTATAGGAATTGTATACAGGAAGTGTACAGGGAATGTCCCTTTCCTCGGTGTATCAAACAGGGCCTGGAGTTCCTGTGAATCACCTATCGAGACTAGACCATGGGTCCTTTCAGAGGTCCAAGCGTCCGTGGCCACGCCCAGTCAAGCAGAATCGAAATAAAACGATGAAAAAAAGGAACCAAAATAAGCAGGAAACTTATAATGCAAAACAAAATGACGGGGAATCAATGAATCATCCAGCAAAACTTCAGCTTCGTTGAGGTAACCAACGCAGCACGATTTTATATCTCGATTTCGTTACAGAGGTGTCATGATAGGTCATACAAGCTTTATTACGGCCCGGGCACATTCTAGTACAGAATAGGTACCATAAATTTTGCGCTCAGTACATAGTTTTGAACGGTCATATTGCTTGCATGCACCAGGCGGGAGCCTCGCCGCGTGGTTAGTTTGCGGATTCATGGATCCAACTGAAGCTCTAGCTAAAATAAAAACACAGAAGCAGGAATTAGGAGCCCGTAAACAGTGCCATTTTATTCAGAGTTATCGGGTCTTCGAAGCACCATACCTTTAGCCATGTCACATCCTCAACTGGTGAGATGACAGATCAGTTTCCCTTGACAACTGACGTCAGTGAGAAACTTAGCAATCAAGTGTTTTCTGGTACGCAACCTGCAGGTGCCCCAAAGGAGGTTATGCAGCAAGTCATGCCAGAAATAACTGACAAATAGAAATCTTTTATCAGCAGTGTTTCTCAGTTGATGAATTTCTCGGTTGTATATGCCCTTTTTTTTCTCATATTAACCAAACACCGTAGTGTCATGACATCCTAAACACACCAAAGAATCTATCAGCAATCATCAAGAGCCATGCTTATACGCAACTTCAACCCAATTAAAACAACAGCAGGCCATGTGGAAATCATTTCTGCCTAAAGCACAAGTTTAGTTGAAGAACTAAAAATTATTGTGTAAGTATGGACGTCAGTCGACTCACTAGTCTTTAAAATCAAATTGTAAAAGCATACTATATCGACAGAGGATAAACATACCGAGATTGAATCCTTCAGCAACTCCCTGATTGCCATTGTAGCATAGGACGATGCAGGTAAAGTAAATGCTAGCTTTACAGCAAGTTTGCTTGGCAATATATCTGAGCTGCCAATAGACTTGTTTTCTTCTAAGCTAGTTTCACTGGTTGGCATGGAGGTCTCCAATGGCTCTTCCATCTTGCAATCAGGTGGGTTGGAGGCGGAATTTTCACTAGATACAGCAGGCTCATTAGCTA